AGGAGCTCCGCGGGCCGCTTCTCCTCCCTCACGGCCGGCTCCGGGGGCTGTGGGAACCGCCGGCCCCGCGGCGCCCTGACAGGATGGATGTTCGCGACTCGCTCCCTCACGTCATCCTCATCCCCGCGCGCGCGAGCGACGCCGACGGGGCGGGCCTGCGGAGGGGGCGTGGCTACGGGGCGGGGCGTGTGCCCGGGGCTGGCTTCGGGGGCGGAGTCTGGAGAGGGCTGCGGGGCGTGTGGAATGGATGAATCGCTCTAGTGGGCGGGGCCTAGAGAGCGATTGGGGGGCCTGTGGAGTGGGTGCGCTCTGGTGGGCGGGGCGAGCGGGAGAATCGGCCTGGGGTGGGCGGGGCCTGGGAGTGCTAATAGCTGGATTGGATGCGCTCTGGTGGGCAGGAATGGATGGGGCGGGGCCTGGAGACATTAGGTCGGGAGTGGATGCGCTGTGATGGGCGGGGCCTGAAGAGGGCTCAAATCTGCGGAGTGGACGCACTCTGAAAGGGGACGGATCCTGGAGAACTCAGGGGCCTGTGGGCGGGGCGTGTGGAGCGAACGGGCTCCGGTGGGCGTGGCTTGGCGGAGGCCGAGATAGTCGGGAAGGCTTGGGGGACAGCTCCAGCGATCAAACTCGCCTCAGTTTCCCGGCGCGGCCAGCCGAGGCACAGGTGACCCTCCCGGGGGACCCCAGCTCTCCTCCACGCCTAGATTATAGACTTGGCGCCGCACGCGAGGTGAACCTGCCATGCGCGCACGTGAGCCTCCACGAAAGCCCTCGGGGAGCTGTCCGCGTTACTTCGGGGTCCCTGGTACCCTGCCCCCCCGCACCCCGCCATGTGTGGGGCGGGAGGTACCCGCATTTCTGAGGAACAGATAGATACGGATATCCTAGCTACCCAGGAGCCTGAGGCCTGAGGAACAGGGTTCGAACCCAGCCGGGGCAGGCACGTCCAGGAAGCCCAAAGTGGCGCTATGGCTCAAGTGATAGAGCACCACCCTTGAGCAGACAGTGCCCAGGCCCTGAGTTCAAGGCCCGGGACCAGCGCGCATGCACACACACACACACCCTCAGATGCAGCATGTCTTGCGCGCATGCACACACACACACACACACACACACACACACACCCTCAGATGCAGCATGTCTTCTCTTGCCTGTCCAGGAAACCTGCTTCAGCATCAATCTGGGCATGGTGACCTCACCCACGAGATGTCCACAGAACTCAACGACGATGCAGACAGGGGAGGCCGGTAGCAAACAGAAGGGGGGCATGGTTCCGAAGTAGCCACCCCCTGCTGTCCATCACAGGTGCTAAAAGGAGTAATTCCAGACTTGGCTGTGGTCCCCCAAGCAGGTGAGACCCTATTCCCGTCCCCAGCCCCCCGCCTCTGCAAGCCAGGCCCTCCCTTCGCTCCTTCCTGCTGAATGAACGAATGCTCAGTCCAAGCATAAAGCTTGCTTTCAGAGACCTTCCCCAAGGACCAGAGTTCGCCTCCCCTCGTTCCCACATGGGTCAAGAGACTTTATCTGATTTTTTTTTTTTTTTGGCTGAGTCTCCAGTGTTTAACATAGTGTGGTAGTAGAGAATAAAAGTAATGTTCATGAGTTGGTAGACTCAAGGTGTTTCAACGTGTAATAAAGCAGTTGGTCTCTAATAAAATCCTTCCTATAGAAGAACAAAAGAAATATCCTCACCTCCAAAGGAATACTCTTGTATACCTTTTAATTGTTCCTTATGTTTTGTTTTGGTCTTTTATTCATTGGTTTCTGTAGAATTGGGGATTGAAACCCAGAGGGTGACACTTTACCACTTGGATCCATGTCTCCAGGCCTTTTGTTTGCATTTTGTTTCTGAGATAAGATGATCTTAACTTTTTCCCAGACTGGTCTAGAACTCCAGATTCCTGGCTGCTTCCTCCTTCCTGTCTAGATTACATGTACATCTCACCATGCCTGGGAAGGCAGGCTGTGTATTTTTCCTTCATTGAAATAAATACTGACACATTTCTACTTACACAGCATTTTTTTATTAAATATACTTTGTGAGAAAAAGCACACCCTGAAGTGCCAGATTCCATGTAAATTAGATCGTTTGGTGAATATAATGGTGAAAAACAAAAAGAAGTCAGCACAATTTAAATACTCTCATAAAAGAGCAAGAACATACCATGATCTTCAAATAAGAAAACAATCATCAAAATATAAAAGGGAAAGAAAATCTCTTGTAGAAGAATATATTTCACATATCCACCTGTTGATCTTTTCATTAAAAAAATACCTATTCTAAACTCATGGACACACTCTTACTATGCATATTTTGATCAATGGTATAAGGAGGAGTTGGAGTGGAGATGAAGTGACAGTTTTTGTTACACAGTAGTCTTGCTCACTGGCACAAACAGTGGAAGGTAGAGGGAGCAGATTTCTGAATTCAGCTGTGAGTGGCAGGATTGGGATACTGCTAAAAATTTAGGGGAAAGAAAAGGCTCAAGTTTTAGCTATTCCCAAATACCAAAAACCTGAAACAGACATGGCCAGTTTAAAGGCAGCTATGGGTAAAATGTAGAAGTGGGTTGAACATTAATGTCTGGGGGCATATCCTATATTACTTAAATTTCACTATAGAGCTAAACTAGCAAGTGTAATCTACAGATAGAATAGTGCCAACATGACATGTTCTAGCCAATGTTTGGCTACAAGGATTTGGAAGGAGACAGGCAAAAATTAATATAGTGAATATTAAAAAAACTCTTCACGTGTGTATATGTGTATGTAAATATACACATATTTCTCTAAAACCTTCCCACCAACATATAGTATACGCGACATGTAATAGATAAAGCTCCAGTACCAAACTAGGATATGCAAATCAGCAGTTCAAATTAAGTGTTAAAAAGCTCCTACTACTGATACAAAGAGTAGACTCTAGTATTTATTCAATAATTAGCACTCTTTCTCTCTCTCTCTCCAGTCCTGGGGCTTACATTCAGGGCCTGGGCACTGTCCCTGAACTTCTTTTTGCTCAAGGCTAGCACGCTACCACTTGAGCCACAGCGCCACTTCTGGCTTTTTCTGTGGTACTGAGGAATTGAACCCAGGGCCTCATGCATGCTAGGCAAGCACTCTACCACTGAGCCACATTCCCAGCCCTAATAATTAGCTCTCTTATTGTTAAAAAAAAAAAAGCTGGTTGTTGGTAGGATATCCTAGTTACTCAGGAAGCTGAGACCTAAGGATTGGAATTTGAAGGCAGCCAAAGAAGAAAAGTTTGCGAGACTCTTATCTCTAACTAGCAAGAAGTAGAGGTGTGGCTCAACTGGTAGAATGCCATCCTTGAATGGGAAAAGGCCAAACAAGAGTTCGAGGCCCTGAGTTCAAGCCCCAGTACAGACACACACACACACACACACACACACACACACACACACTAATGTTAATGAGCAATACTTGTCACTTTCAGTTTTTAGATACTATAGAAATTTACAGAATAGTAGGAAGAAGAAAATAAAGTGATTAAATTGGATTCTGACTCTATGATCAAAATTAAATAACACATCCAAAAAAAAACCCAAAACACATTTCATAGCACGACCTGCCAAAACTTCCCTGATCTTTTCAATCCATGAAAAAGAATGAATTTGTCTGGTTTTGCTAAAACTTTTAGGAAACAAAAATAATTTAATCATGAAATACCAGCTTGGTAATGAACCAGTATCAACTGGTATTTAGTTGTGTCATCCAAAATAAAAAGGCCGACAAGTTCTAACTAATATACAAACAGGGTACTGAATTCATGAATGAACATAGAACTATTTCCAGCATACAAATACTCTGATTTTGTACACACTGCATTTCAAAATTCTGTAAACTGCGAGGCATTCCGGTGTTTAGTGTGGCAGCAAAGCATATTACATGTTGCATTATTTTATCCTGTTCAGCCCTTTTCCCATTAAGCACGCAAACACCGTCATCACCATCTTTGGTTTCACTTCTACGAGATCATCAGGTAATGCATAGATCCGGGCGCCGATCTTTCGAGCAACTGAGATGGCATATCTTGAAAGGAAAAGAAAAACATCTTGGTATCTGTGATCAATTGGTTTGTACTGAATAGATTTTAACAAAAGGATGAAACATTTTGATAAGATTAACTTGACAGAAAGGTTAAGGAGGGGATTTTAAAAACTCATTCCCCATTCAAGTTGTTCTTTTCCTGTAGGGATTTTATTTTATTCTTTTTCTTCTTTTGGTTGGTCGTGGGGCTTGAACGACTGGCCTGGCACTCTGTTCTTCACCCCAAAGCTCAAGGCTCAAGGCGAATGCTCTACCACAAGAGCCACAGCACCACTCCCGGTTTTCATGGACTTTCCTGCCTGTCTGTGGAGCCCAGACTAGCTTCAAACTCGAAATCCTGCTGCCTCCACCTTCAAAGCATGGGGACTGCAGGTGTGCACTACCACACTCAGCTCCTGGAAGCGTTTTAGAGAATATATAAACCATGAAGGCTTACTTAGCATTGTTCAGTTTGTCCTCATTGGAAAGGTTTTCTCTCTTGACCATTTCTTGACGAACCGCATTTGGAGCAATGGCATCTATCAGGTCTAGGACAGGTAAACTTGTGCTAATTGATTTATCCTAGAAAATAAAGAGGACATGAGCATTCCTCAACATCTTACCCTTTCGTTTTCATCATCATTAGCCTCTTCTGCTTCTTCTCACATAATGGAAACCAAGAGATAGATTTTTTTTTGGATGTAGTAAGCTTTTCTACCATTTGATATATGACTTTTTTTCTGCCTTTCTATAAATGATAGAGAACTGTCACCTACCTGACTACCATTTGTGGATGTGACACTTCCTATGATGCTAACTACAGAATCTGTGCTGTAAAAGGCAAGTCACTTTTGAAAGAGAATAAATGGATTTTCAGTGAACAATTCACAAACTCTGGTGATATTTTATTTCTTAGACTACAAATTCAGAGAGAAGAGTGAAATCAACGGAGACATTATTCTTGCAGCTTCATGTTGTAGCTTATTTAATCTTCATTTTTAATCCCAACAGGTATCATGATAAAGGAGTTAAAAACCCCTCTTTTAAAGATAAAGAACATGACGTTTAGAAAGCCCTTGTGACTTAACACAGCCACTGAGTACAGTCCAAGTGTTTGAAACCATAACCAACCTATGCTGATGCCAACATACTCTGTGTTAGACTTCTTTTTTCAAGGTGAATACAAAATGAATCACTGAATTTCAATAGCCAAGGCTGTAGCTGAAGCTGGGTCTCAATCTGAATTCATTCTAGCACTTACTGGCCCTTGCACATGTGATTTATTTTCTCTCTCTGGTCATGATCTGCCTATAGCATATGCTCACTCCCTCTTCTGTCTCCATCCTAACAGAACCCGTATTTTTGCTCTGTATCCAGACTGTTCTAGGGATACACACTGACAAGCCTACTCAATGCTCCAAGAAAGGCCCTGAATGGGTCTCGGTCTTGTATTTTCAGTGCAGACAGGCTGTTAAACATACTGCTTTTCTGGCCTAAAGTGCAGTGTGTAAATAAATAAACTCTGTATTTCACACTAAACTTAGATGGTAAGAATGGATTCAGGGAAAAAGGTGTCCTAAAACATTCTTCTAGGGGGGACAATAATGAAAAAAGTAAACAGGCTGAAAAACACTAGTCTCATTAACAAATAAGGTAGTTTTCTTTTTCTTTTCTTTTTCAGTTGTGGGACTTAAATTCAGGGCCTGGGCGCCGTCCCTGAGATTTCTTTGCTCAAAGCTAGCTCTTTGCCACTTTGAGCCACAGCGCCACTTCTGGTTTTCTACTGGTTAATAGGAGATAACAGTCTCACGGACTTTACTGCTCAGGTTGGCTTTGAACCGAGATCCTCAGACCTCAGCCTCCTGAGTAGCTAGGATGACAGGCGTGAGCCGCCGGCGCCCAGCTAACAAGGTGGTTCTATCCTTTCATTTGGGCCTCTTTCAATCAGGCCAGGGAGAGCCAGTGATCCTTTCCTGTATGTGAATGAGCGGCTAAAACTTTGGTCACACTCAGCCTCTGGTCGGTCCTATAACCAGAAGAAGCAGCAGGGAGGAGGAGGAAGGCAAGCAGAGCTGGCATGTCAGATGGCAAAGCAGAGGGGGGAAAACCCTGAGTCCTGAGTGGACTTCAGTCATTGGCTCAGCTAGTCATGAAGTCAACCGTACATGTGGATTTCGAAATCCAGGTCATTGACTTTTAGGGCAGGGTCTGGCTTTCCACCTAGGTACCCTTGATTCACAATCGGGGTCCTGAGATCACAGAGATAGTTGGGATCACAGGCATGTGCCACCATGTCCCAGAGTCTCAGGGACTTTTCTATCCAGACTGGCCTGGAACCTTGATCCTCCCATTTATAAAGTTTTACATTCTTTTTTTTTTTTTGGTCGTGGGGCTTGAACTCTGGGCCTGGGCGTTGTCCCTTAGCTCTTCAGCTCAAGGTGAGCGCTCTACCACTTGAGCTACAGCACCACTTCCAGTTTTCTGGTGGTTTATTGGAGATAAACCTGCCCAGGCTGGCTTTGAACCTCGATCCTCAGAACTCAGCCTTCTGAGTAGCTAGGATTACAGGCGTGAGCCACGGGCACTCAGCAATGTTTTACATTCTTATAGATTCTTATATAGTAAGAAATTTTTTTTAAATCTTCCAAACACCCTCAAAGAGAAAGGGAGGAGATAAAAAGCGCTTGAACTGGGACTAGGGCAACATCTCTGCCAACATTCAGTTTCCTCTTAAGGCCACTTCTGGCCTCAGTTTTTGGTAGACGAGAAGACTGAATTTATCCACCTCTGACATTTCTTCCACTCTGCGATGGTGTTAAACAGCACAATGAGGCAAAGAAAGGAATGATGGAAGGGTAGATAGCTCTTAACATAGTGTCTCATATCCACTGGCAATCTTCTAGTTCACAACAAAACTGCACCACTTGCTGGGTTTCACAAATCATCAAGTCACACACACACAAGGCTCAACGAGTGAAGGTGTGCAAGCAGCCATGCTCACATGCAGGCGCAGGTGCGATGGAAGGACGGCCTGAGTGTTAGTGGCGATGGGTGTCTGGTGTGCCATGACTTTATGAGTTACAGCCACAATGCTGGTGGAGTGAGTGTGAAGTGCATTATGAGACCAAACGACACGATCCGTCTTCTCCTACCAGGTTGCTCAGGGCCCACTCGAGTCACTCTGGCTGGCAATGATGTCAGAACAGTTCTGAGACTGCCGCCAGGGAACACAAGCCAGTATAGCTCCTACAGAGACAATGGGGTTCATCTTTCTCTTCCATTTATTTGACAACCGCATTATTAGTTTTCTTGCCTCAATTCTGTATCTTTCTTTAAATTAGATTACCACAGTCTAATTTGCATTTCTAGTCAACAAGACAACCAATAAAGAAATCAAAACCCCAAAAACAAACTCCAATGGACTATTTCTAGCTTATACATGCCAAATAGTATGCCTAAACGTCATGTGTTTCTGAGATAACGTATCAACATGATTCTGAACCTAACCTTTGTCATGTCCATTAAAAAAAGTTCCTTCCATAAACTTACAAGTTTTTTAAAAAATTATGTTACCTTAAAGCTGGAAATAGAAGTGCTTTTGTTTGCATTTTTAAGAGTCTGATTGACCCACTTAATAATAATGTCATCATTCACTTTTTCTCCTTCTCCAAGATCGGATAATACCTTCAGTGTGTACCTGCAACAGACAAGATTTATGCTTGGGACCAGCAGGGCCAAGTTAGCCTCCATGCCATTCATATCATACTTGAATATTTCAGAGACAGCCAGATATGGTAGTACACATCTGTAATCCCAGTACTTGGGAGACTGAGGTAGGAGAATTCCCCAAATTCAAAGTCAGCCCAAGATATATAGTGCGACCCCATTTCCAAATAAAAGAAGGGACCGAGGAGAGGGAGGAAGGGAGGAAAAGTTCAGTTCTAACATCTCTAATTTTAGTCTGGCATTTACACTTGATTACTTTCCAAAATTACAGAGCTCATTCTTCAAAACAAAAACTACCATGTGGTATTTTTAAAAGAATTCTAAACAGCTCCTTACAAAGTCATTTTACTGAGGTATTCATAATAAGATATTGTGTTTCTAGAGATTGTCTCACTTTAAAATATAGTTATGAACATCAAGTCAATAGCAAACCTTTTATAACATTGCACTGTGCATTTCTCGTGTTTATTAGGCTTCAAAAATAGCTACTGGTGTGGCTCAAATGACCTCAGTTCTGTAACGCATCAGCTTTTACCTTCTCATCAACTGCCAAACCAATGCCAGGGTCAAGGTTGAATTCCCTTCATTTAGGTCTTGTCCAGCAATGCCCACCAAGGAGAATTTGGCTTCGTTTTTTCCAAGCGCCACAGCGTAGTTACAATTTTCAATCTACCAGTAAGAGAAAGTTTTGGTTTAAAGATACATTCTTAGAAACCTATCTCCTGAACCTGTAGACCTAGTTCAATCATGTGAAAAATAGTTCCAATGATACAGATGATGCTCAATTTCATTTCACAGTAACCAAATAAATGCAAAGAATAATTATTCCTTCAGCTCAGTCCTTTCTAGAGTGTTGTTGTTGTTGTTCTACCCTGACCTCTGCAGAGATTTCTCATCACCCATGACTTGGTGCTACAATTCTCTTATCGAGATACAGACTTCTCTTCTACTCAGGAAGTTGAGATCTGAGGACCCTAATTAACCAGCAAAAATACTGGAAGTGGACTTGTGATTCTAGAGGTAGCCTTGAGCAAAAATGCTCATGGACAGTGCACAGGCCCTCAATTCAAGCCCAGGCACACGCGCAACACACACACACACACACACACACTCACAGAACTATGCAAATTATGTGTAGGGAAGGAAGGAGGAAACTGGGGAATAACAAAGGAAAGACTAGCATTGTCCGAGAAGAATTATACTCGTTAACTGATTTATAGAATTGTAATCTCTCTGTACAACTCCATAATAATAATCTATTTTTTAAATTTAAGAAAAGAAATAAGCACCATAGATATATATAGAAGTAAAAAAATGGAATTGACTCCTAGTCTACAGGGAAAAAATAACAGCACTCTAGTTACATAACTAAAACAGGAAGAGAGTAAATGACATTTTCCATGGAAATGCAGATCAAGGAGAGAATTTTCTAGCAAACTGGATTGTGTAAAATGTGTTTCAGTGAAGGACCATCTGTTTTGTAGTTTGTGAAAAATTCTGGGGGAACTGGTGGAGAAAAACAAGTTTGGGGCACCATGTAGAAGGCCTATGAAGATGCTGATATGGCCGGCAAGGAAAAGGAAAGTGGAAATGGGTCTTAACGTTAAGGAAGGATGTGTTCTGTTTTTAGGAGTGCTTGGATTCAAATTTGGCAGAACCCTTGTAAGATTTGGAGCAATACCAAACTAAAGAAAGAATGAGAAATTAGGTTCCTAGAGGGAAGCCAAAAGCCCTAAAAAATGTATCTGTTCCCTAAGAATGGAGTACAGAAATTAAGAGTTTTACGCAGACACTGGTGGCTCATGCCTATAATCTTAACTACTGGGAAATGGAGATCTGAAGAATCATGGCTGGGTACAAGAGTTCACTTTGGTAATCCTAGCTACCAAGAGGGGGGAATCAAGCAGACTGTGGTTCTAAGCCAGCCTCGGCAGAAAAGTCTGTGAAACTCCATCTCAACAAAAGGCACTAAGCACTGTGGCAAGTACCTATCATCCCAGCTACAACTGGAAGCATAAAATGGGACCAGGGTCCAGATGCAAGTATAGATATCTAAACAAGTGAAAATAGCCATAGAGCTCCAGCCTAACAATCTGAGATCCCGAGTCTCAAGACCTAGCATCCAGCAATTCCATTCCAGGGCGTTTATCCAAAAGATCACAAACCAGGACACAGTAAAGCCACCAGCACAGCCATGTTCACTGCAGCACTAGTCACCACAGCCAAGGTATGGAATCAGCCCAAATGCCCTTAATGGAGGAATGGATCAATGTGGTATATATACACAACAGAATTCTACTCATCCAATAGAAAGAATGATAGTGTACCTGGAGAAAATTAGGTTAAGTGAAGTTAGCCAGGCCCAAAGAGAGAAAGGATCCATGTTTTCCCTTATATGTAGAAGCTAAGTATAGCTTACAAAATCTTAAGCAAATGCATTGGGTAGTGTGCAAGTATATACAAATATATTAACTGAAATACAGTAGGTTCAAGGAAGAACTCAAATAGTGTAATTCCTTATGAAGGCAAAGGCAAAGTTCAGCAAAATCAAATACCAGGAAGTGGGTGCTCAAAAGGTGTGGGGTGGGGTCAAGGGGCAAGAGGTGGATGAATGAAGAGAAGAGGGGGAGAATGTACACAACAATCATTGTACAGCCCACAAATTTTTTTTTTGGGTTCGGTCGTGGGGCCTGAACTCTGGGCCTGGGCGCTGTCCCTCAGCTCTTCAGCTCAAGGCTAGCACTCTACCACTTGAGCTACAGCGCCACTTCTGGCTTTTTTGCTTATGTGGTGCTGAGGAATCGAACCTAGGGCCTCGAGCATGCAAGGCAAGTGCTCTACCACTGAGCCACCTTCCCAGCCCCCAGCCCACAAAATTAAGAAGCATGAGGGAAAGAATGGGTAAGGGAGGGGTGGGTGACACTGATCAACATGTGTTGTATTCATAAACGGCTTTGTTAAATGGCAACGCCTTTGGACAACTACTTAAAACATCATTTTAAACTGAAAGGAAAAAGAAAAGAGTCTTGGGCCAAGATCTGAGCCTTAGAAAGCTAGAGCTGTCAGGCTGAAAGCTGAAGAACCTACAAAAATTAGGAAAAACTTGGAGAAGACAGTCTCGTGGAGGATGGAGGCCATGACCACTCAGCATGGAAAATGGACACAGGTGAAGCTGGGTCATTTTGACTGATGAGAAATCAAGGGTTCAAGTAAAATGCAATACTGAAAAGAGAATGAAGGAAGACACTGACGGTTGGTTTGATGAACTTCACAAGAGAAGAAACGCTCATAAACTAAGTCCTGGTGGCAATGTGTTGTGAAAAGTATTCTTCGTTTGTCAAAAATGAATTCAACATCTTGAATTTATCCCAGGCTTTATGTTTCCTCTTATAAATAGCTAGTGCTTGGAAGGAAGCATTCTGCATATGATTCATTTGTGACATTTTGTAATTAACATTAAAAGAAACTGCAGGTATAACGAATCTTCCATTTGGCATCTGAAATTATGAAGGAGAAAAAAAACTTATGTGAAATGAGTTAACATTTTCCAGATTTTATTTCCATGAGAATAGAAAGTAGAAAACTATAGGCAAATGAAATAAAAATTAAAAATGCAGGTAGTTCAATCACTTGAAATACTGAAAAAAGTCTGAATATGTCTTGTAATTATCATACTACCCATTTATGGCTCTTTCCTTCCTTTCTTCTTTCTTTTTTTGTCATGGAGCTTGAACTCAGGGACTGGGTGCTGCCCCTGAACCCTTTTGATCAAGGCTAGCACTCTACCACTTTGAGCCACAGCTCCACATCTGGTTTTCTGGTAGTTAACTGGAGATACAAGTTTCATGGACTTTCTTGCTCAGGCTGGTTTTGAATTCCAAGCCTCCTGAGTAGCTAGTATGACAGGTGTAAGCTCCCAGTGCCGGGTCATTTAGCTATTTTTAATATTTTGCAGTTCAAGCCTGACTGTGGCTTGAACTTGAGAAATCGTAACCTCCCTCAGCTTTGTTTGCTCATGACTGCCACTCTACCACTTGAACCACACCTCAACTTCCAGGTTTTTGTTTTTTGGGTTTTTTTTGTTTTGTTTTTTGCTGGTTAATTGAAGGTAATACTCTCAGGATTTGTCTGCCAGGGCTGGCTCTAAACCATGATCCTCTTATCTCAGCCTCCTGAGTAGCTAGGATTGTTAAGTGTGAGCCACTGATACCCAAATGAATACATATCCAGTCAAGATGGAGGAAGTTGTGCAATTATAAAGAATGCACTTACAGTGCATCTCAGACAACAGTAAATATTGCAGCTTGCTACAGACAAAAACAGTTATAAGGGTCCAACTGGGAAGGCTGCCTTCATCTTTCTAAACATTTATTAAAGCAACATATTAACACAACGTATTTGGGGTTAGAGCAGAAGTGTGGAGAGAGAGCACGCTTTACTGAGCTTTATGAGATTCTAAATCTTCTGTTTCATTTCATAACAAGAACACTGTATCCTCCCCCGCCCCGTCCCTCCCCCCCATCATTCCACTCACCTTTTTCATATTTCCTCCGAGCGCTGGGTAGGGAGGTTTGTTGACCTGGCTCCAGTTCACCGGCACTCGGATCATTTCATAGAGCTGGAAGATCACTAAAGCATCTGCCAGGTCACTAAAGTGGAAAACAGGTAGGAAGAGCAGTGAGGGGTGAGGGTGTGGGTACCAATGACATTAGGTACATTGCAGATATATGTATGTATGTATGTATGCATGTATGTATGTATGTCTGAAAACACAATGGACTTCGCTGGGTATAGTGGCTTAGGCTTGAAACCCTAGATACTCCTCTGGAGGCTCAGATCAGGAGGACTACAGATCAAGGCCAGTCCAGATTGGAAAAAAAAAGCCCATAGGAAATCCTCTCACCCATCTTAACAGTAAAAGCTGGGGAGGGAGCATAAATAGTATGAGAATAGAGCCCAGGTCAGCTGAGAGAGAGACAGAGACAGAAACAGAGAGAAGAGAGACTATTTCAAAAATAACTAAAGTGAAAAGGGCTGGAGGCATGGTTCAAAGCAGTAGATTTGCCTAGCAACCGTAAAGCCCTGAGTTCAAACCCCAGGAGCACCAAAAAAGAAAAAAATAGAGGGTCATTTAATGCTTGCAAAATGACAGGACACATCATTCAACCCAGAATTTCCATTATAATAATCTGCCCACATGTTTTTCATACATGTATACAATGACATATAAACATACACAACATACATGCACACACATGCGCAAAGACATGTGTTGCCACCATGTTTAGAAATTGGGCATCAATCTCCGGCTGTAGGGAGCTGAAGAATAACTATAAACTCCCACGATATACTACAATAGATCTGAAAATACACAGCTTCACAAGATGTATCAAGTTTAAAAAGCAAGTGGCAGAGTACTTCCTTTAGTCTGATCTCAGTTATTTAAAAAGAGGTTAGATTCAAATGTGCTTATATACTTATTATGCTAAGGACGTTACTAGTGAGCAAGAAAAAGGTACAAGGAAGGGCAGGAAGAAGGAATTATCCTGCTTAATTATGTTCTCTGTAAGTATGTATTTCTTGATACTTGTACAGTAGAATGAGTTACTTACATATTATGATTTCTTTTCCAAACTTTAAAAATAGCTCTAGGAAAAATCACAGCTACTCAGTAGGCAGCTGTTCATGTTCGATAATGAAGGTTAACAGGAAGGAAATTAGGAGCAAGTAGGAGTTCTTAAAGTAAAACTACTGCCATTTCACATTCAGAAAAAAAAAATTCTCCTGAGAAGCTGTTTTCAGTTCTGTAGGCTAAGGACATAAGGCGATGACAGGTGAGGTTTTCTACTATGGCATGAATCTTCAGCTCACATTTGAAGAATAACTGAATATTCTTTAAGGAGTTAAACGTTTTAAGGAGTTTCCTTGACATGTCATTTATTGATAGGTGGCTCAGAGGCAGAGTGCTTGCCTTGCATGCATGAGGCCCTGGGTTCCATTCCTCAGCACCACATAAGCTGAAAAAGCCAGAAGTGGCACTGAGGCTCAAGTGGTAGAGTGCTCGCCTTGAGCTGAAGAGCTGAGGGACAGCGCCCAGGCCCAGAGTTCAGGCCCCATGACTGACCCCCAAAAAAGAAAAAAAGATGAGTTTTCTGTCACTCCCATCTGCAAATATCACATCAGTTATCCTTAGCAGGCAGCACAGGAAATTTAGTTAATAAAATATTTTCTTGGTTCAACCCATGTTAATTAAGTGCTGTCATTTTTTTTTAATGTGTATATGTGTATGCATATGTGCTGGTCTTAGCTCGAACTCCAGGTCTGGGTGCTATTTCTGAGCTGTTTTGCTCAAAGCTAGTGCTTTGCCACTTGAGCCACAGCTCCACTTCTGGCTTTTTCTGTTGATGTGATGCTGAGGAATCAAACCCAGGACTTCATGCATACTAGGCAAGCATTCTACCACTGAGCCACCTTCCCAACCCCTGCTGTCATTTTTTAAATGATAATAAAGAGTAAGATTTAAAAAAATAATTATCCAGGGAAAACTAGTGATTCCTACCTATAGATGATTTTAAAAATGTAACATAATAATTGAGATGTGGCAAAAAATGAAAAATATGAATTACAATGAAAGATATTGATATAATGGAGACAATTTTCGGTCATTACTTCAATTCTAATCTATTAAAGCTTAAATAATTTGTCCATAATAAATAAATAAATTACACACACACACACACACACACACACACACACACACACTAGCTGGGCACCAGTGTCTCATGCCTGCAATCCTAGTTACTCAGGAGGCTGAGATCTGAGGATCATGGTTCAAATCCAGCTGGGACAGGAATGTCCTTAAGACTCTTATCTCCAATTAACCACCAAAAAGCCAGAAGTGGAGGTGCGGCTCATGTGGTAGAGCACTAGCCTTCAGCAAAAAGACAGGGGCAGTGCCCAGGCCCTGAATTCAAGCCCCCTGACCAATACCACACCACCAGAAGACTGTATCCTGACAATAAGGCTGAAACACAGAAGGTATTTACCTGTACAAATGATTAATGTATGGGTTGACCCCCAAGGAGTTCATCCAGTTCCGGAAGGTCCTCTCTTCCTTGCTCTCTCCTGGAGGGGACAGAAGTTCACACAGGTGATTCGAGCCCAAGGAATCACCAGGGCTGTTTTGTAAACCATCCTTGCATGGCCGCACTGGCCACGCCCACTTTGCCCTGGTTCTTTAGATAATTGTCATTTCTTTAGAGGGAAAAGAAAATCTCTTAACCCCATCATCTAGGAAGCCACTATCTGTCTCTCTCCATTCAGAATTCCCTCTTTTGATGTCTGTGGACAAGTGAGTCCTTGGTTTCCCTGTCCAATGTCTGAGGTGAGGATCAGAGACAGAAAGCATCTGGCAAACATTATACAAACAAGCAGTCAGGGCACTTGTTAGTACATGAACTCGAAACAGAAGAGCTCCACCTTTCCCACTGCAGTGCTTCCAAATTTGTATAGATTTTGAGTCTTAAAAAAAAAACAAAAATGGGGGGGATGGGATTGCAGGGATGGTAAGGGGAAACGGAGGAGGCAATAATGCTTGATAAGAAATGTACTCATTACCTTGCTCATGTAATTGTAACCCCTCTGTAGTGTATTTTCACAATAAAAAACAAAAACAAAAACAAACCAACAACAAAAAAAAACCAGGAAAGTTTCTAGGCACACAAACCTATACCAGGACAGCAAATAATAATAAAGATTAGGATTTGCAGGTAATGGATAAAAATAGGCGATGATCAATGTAACCATTCCACAGGTTTCCTGAATTACTTTAGATCATCTCTGTGAAAATAAATAAACAAACAAACAAATAAATAAATACTTGAACCAGGCACCAGTGGCTCACACCTGTAATCCCAGCTATTCAGGAAGCTGAGATCTGAGGATGAAGGTTTGAAGCCAAGCTGGGCAGGGAAGACAATGAGCCTCTTATCTCCAATAAACTACCAAAGAGCTGGGAGCAGAGCTGTGGCTCAAGTGATAGAGCTAAAAGCTCTTGAGCAAAAGAATCTCAGGGATGGTGCCCAGGCCAAGTTGAAATCCCTAGGGCTGGCACAAAAAGAAAAACAAAACCAGCTTGAGCATTCCCAGCCCTCCGCACCGCCTCGGGTGTGCTTGCTACATTTCATCCTAGGAAGTTCTCGTCTCAGGGGAGAACTCACTCCTCCTGCCTGGGGTAACGCTGCCTTCCTGAACATCGACTACCTCTGGTGTACCCCAAACAGGAAGATATGAGCTCACCCTGCCCTGTCAGGTGTGTCTTTTTTTGGGTCCAGTCGTGGGGCCTGAACTCTGGGCCTGGGCGCTGTCCCTAAGCTCTTCAGCTCAAGGCTAGCGCTCTACCACTTGAGCCACAGCGCCACTTCCAGCTTTTTTTTCCTGCTTATGTGGTGCTGAGGAATCGAACCCAGGGCCTCATGCTTGCAAGGCAAGTGCTCTACCACTGAGCCACCTTCCCAGCCCCATGTGTGTCTTTTTTTGTTGTTGTTGTTGGTAGTCATGCGGCCTGAACTCTGGGCCTGGGCGTTGATCCTCAGCTCTTACGCTCAAGGATAGTGTTCTACCAACTTGAGCCATAGCACCACTTCCAGCTTTTTCTGTTTATGTGGTGCTGAGGAGTCGAATCCAGGGCCTCATGCATGCAAGGCAAATGCTCTACCACTGAGCCACCTTCCCAGCCCTGTCATGTAGTGTCTTATAGATACTGACTGATTATAGAGGGTCCTCACTGACTAATCTTTTTTTTTTCAGTTTCTTTTTTTTATTGTGAAAATACTGTACAGAGGAGTTACAATTACATGGACAAGATAATGAGTGCATTTCTTATCAAGCATTGTTGCCTCCTCCTTTGTTTCCCCTTTCCATCCCTTCCCATCCTCCCCTCCCTCACCCCCCCTCACTGACTAATCTTGACTGCTTATTCAACAGCAATGTCAGGGGACAATGGCAAAACCCATTCAGAAGCTCCCATAAGCAGGATTGGTATAGGCTCTAGGAATATTTAGCAGGTGCTCCCGTAGATGATTATAAAGTGTTTGTAGCAGATCCAACAGATTGCTCAGTTTTTTTGCCAGTCCTGGGGCTGGAGCTCAGGGGGCCTGGGCACTGTCCCTGAGCTTCTTTTGCTTGTCTTAGCTGATAGCCAAACAGCTGATCAATGAGAGTGCCTCTCGATCACTTCCAACCTGCAGGCAAGTGTTCAGATCGCCCAGCGTTAGACTCTGGCCCCATGAAATTCGCAGGATGGTTTGGCATAAAAATCTGTAAGCATCTAAGGGGCAGGCCCCCTTCTTAGAGTTAAGAGGCAGATCCTTGCAGAATCCAAAGGGCTCTGGTATTTCTACCAGTTGTTCAACAAGAACCTGGCTCACCCTATTTTCATGGGCTTTCAGTGCCATGACTCTGCAGGTATCCCAGAACCTTCTTTAATCCTAACTGTATTACGTAGCTACATTATTTCTTGCTTAAATGTTGTTCCTTCTGGTCTTCATAAAACAAAACTGATGGGTTAGGAAGGTGGCTCAGTGGTAGAGTACTTGCCTACCATGCACGAGGCCCTGGGTTCGATTCCTTAGTACCACATACACAGAAAAAGCAGGAAGTGGAGCTGTGGCTCAAGTGGTAGAGCACTAGCCTTGAGCAAAAGAAGCTCAGAGATAGCGCCCAGGTCCTGAAACACTTTATAATCATCTCCAGGAGTACCTGCTAAATATTCCTAGAGTCCATAGAAATCCTGCTATGGGAGCTTCTGAATGGGTGTAAATTAAATCCCTGAACTATCTCCAGGATACCATAACTACAAGCTCAGTTGATCCATGTAACTTGGAAACTTTTGGTTGTTTGATTTATTATGAATGCTATTTATATAAGCTTTTTTTGTCTAGTAGTTGAAAATCCTTCACATTCTTTCTAACTAGGAAAATCCAAATTGTGTCTTACAATGACAACAACTTATTGTAAGAATGGTTTAAGTTTTGTTTTTTGTGGTTTTCCTTTTTTGGTTGTGGGGCTTGAACTCTGTGCCTGGGCACTGTCCCTGACCTCTTCAGCTCAAGGAGAGTGCTCTACTGCTTGAGCCACAGCGCCCCTTCTGGTTTTCTAGTGGTTTATTGGAGATAAGAGTCTCGTGGACTTTCCTGCCCAGGCTGGCTTTGAACAATGGTCCTCAGATCTCAGCCTCCTGAGTAGCTAGGATTACAGGCATGAGCCACCGGCACCCGACAGTTTAGTTTTTTTTTTTTAAGGAAAATATTTAAATTCTGTTAAACCTGATGATATAATGATTTTTTTTTAATGCCGCTACACTTGGGCTAAGTGTGCTGGAGCACACCTATCATCCCAGCTAGTCAGGAGATAGAAAGAGGAGGGTTAGCCATTTCAAGTTCAGTCTGAACAAAAGGGCTCCAGAACCTGTCTCAAAGACAGTCCAGGAATGGGGCAAGTGTCTGCATCCACAGTCACCTGAGCGGCACAGGTAGACGACCGTTGTCCAAGGCTGGCATGGGGCAAATGCACACGACCCTATCTACAAAGAAGTAAACGGACTAGAAACGGGCAGAGCACCTACTTAGCAAGCCCTGAGTACAAATTCTAGTTCTGTTAGGCTTGGGGGTAGGTGGATCCCCTGCAGGGAAGCTGGGCACCTGTCATCCTAGCTACTCAGGAGGCTGAGATCTGAGGATCATGGTTCGAAGCCAGCCCAGGCAGGAAAATCTCTATAAGACTCCAATCAGTCACTCAAAAACCAGAAGTGGCACTGTGGCTCAAGTGGTAGAGCATTAGCCTTGAGCAAAAGAGCTCAGGGACAGTGCCCAGACCCTGAGTTCAAGCCCCACAACCAACAGAAAAAAAGAAAAAGAAAAAAAAGAACACAGGTTGTATTTTGATTGGATTCTGACACTATTATAAGCTCCAGAGTTTCGTATATCTTCATATTGTTCTCAATAAATTACATTATTATCGTTTTAATATTTAACACCTGGCAAGCAAAACACTATTTTGTAAATGAGCCTTTACTTAGCTGGCATTATTTCAAGTTGTCTTCATCAATAAACACTGAGCTAGAAGCACTATACATTTGTGTGAGAGCCATGGTAAACCACCAGAAAAACATCTATATTCCTGACTGGAAAATCCCTCCTGGATGGGAAGTAACTAAACCAATCTTAGGACTAACATGTAAATAGGTGATGTACAAGGTAGCAGGAACTATACAATAGTCCTTTCTCCTGCAGGTCAAACTGACATCTGCGAAGGACAAAAGTCTCAATAAACAAAACAGACATATGGGCTGGGAAGGTGGCTTAGCAGTAGAGAGCTTGCCTAGCACGCATGAAGGCCTGGGTTCGATTCCTCAGTATTACATACGCAGAAAAAGTCGGAAGTGGCGCTGTGGCTCAAGTGGTAGAGCACCAGCCTTGAGCAAAAGACGCTTAGGGACTGTGCTCAGACCCTGAGTTCAAGCCCCAAGACTGACAAAAACAAAAGCAAACAAAACAGACGTTTTAAAAGTAAGCTATTGCGAAGTGCCAATGGCTTGCGTCTAGAATCCTAGGTACTCAAGAAGCCTAGATCTGCAGATAGTGGTGTGAAGCCAGCCTGGACAGAGGAGTCCATGTGACTCTTATTTCCAATTAACCAGCCCCCCCACCCCCCGCCAAAAAAAGCTACAGCCAAGTGCCAGTGGCTAGTGCCTAAAATCCTACTTACTTAGGAGGCTGAGATCTAAGGATCTCAGTTCAAAGCCAACCCAGGCAGGAAAGTCCATGAGACTCTTATCTCCAATAAACTACAAAAAAAAGCCAGAAGCAGATCTGTGGCTCAAGTGGTAGAGCTCTAGCCTTGAGCAAAATAGTTCAGGGACAGTGCCCAGACCCTGAGCTCAAACCCCAGGACCAGCCCCCCCCCCCCACTAAAAAGCCAGAGGTATAGAAGTGGCTCAAGTTGTACAGTGCCAGCCCTGATTAAAAAAAAAAAAAGTTCAAGAAAGAGCACAAGGCCCTGAGTTCAAGCCCCAGTTCCAGCACAAAGGTAATTAATTAAAAAGGTAGCTAGTAAAAGAACAGAAAAAGAACAAACCTATTCACACTCGCTAAATGCACTAGGATTGTTATCTTGTGTTTTCCTCCTCCCACCCTGATCATTAGTAAACACAGAATGCAGGTTAGACTGTCACTGATGACTACCCACTTATTTGTTCTGTAACTCTGCAAAGTAAGTGGTATTAGTCCTGACATGTGTATACATATATATACATACATACATACATACATATATACATATATACATATACATACATATATATATATGTATATATATATATATATATATATATATAAAATGGAACCAGAATCTGAACAAAGTCTTTCTAACTCAGTGGCTTGTGCACTTTCTATCACAGCAAATGTGTTCTGAGATGCTTTCTCCAGCTAGCCAATAAGTTCGCTTCCATTTGATATGCAGGTTCACTATTTCCTGGGGTTTAAAATTTTTTTAATTCCCTAGAGATGAAATTCTCCACCCACGAGGACACACTCATAGATGAATCTGGGGTGTGATAAGGCCAAGATTTATGAGGATTTATAAAAACACAAATTGGAAGAGGGAAAATACTACAATGACAGAGGTCAAATACATCTTGGGCACTTGTACCAGAACATACATATGTTCTACATAGAGATGATTGATAAATATTTCCCATAGTATCGCTCAACAAATACCAACTTAAATGATACTAATGGAAATATGTAGCAATCCTAGTCACACTGAAAAAAAAATCTCCAAAGCATGCTGAACACTAGCAAAAGAACCCAAACATGACACGGGGAGAGCGAGCAAGCCAGAAAAGGTAATCGAGCAACAGACCAGCGACTATAAAAAGCAGATCATTTTTAATATGCCACTTTAAACAATGCCTTCTGCTGAAATCATGGCGGGATTTTGAAATTTTCCAGCTGGATTAAATACTTGTCTTCCTTTTTCCTTATTTTTTTATTTTTGGTTGTAGGTTCTAATCTTTCACCTTGAATTCCTCTTTGGGAAAAAAAGTCTACATTATTTTGTCTATTTCTGTTCTTCAGTTATATATCTAGGTAGAGAAGAGTCTTTGTTTTAACCCTCAGGTTAACTATATGGAATTAATTGTATTTGTTGTAATTACGGAGTTGACAAGGACTTTAGAACTCTCTGTTGTTGCAGTCAAAGATAAAAGATCCAGAGACTGCTCACTGTCTCACAGGGAAAGAGAGGAAGGAGAAGGGCATGTGACTCAATATTGAACATGAGATGGTGGTGAAAATCCCCACCATCTCCCAAGTGAGACATCTAAGGAGGATCTTAGGGATGGCCACTCCATCAGACAGCTAACATCGCTACTCCCACTGATTTTACTCCTTGCTCTTACACTAATGGGATACTGGCAGGCCTGTGGCTGGGGTTGTAAGAGTGGGAGGAGAATAGAGGAGAGGCTGGGAGACAGAGGTCAGGAGAAGGAGAATGCTTCTGTCACTGAGGTGATTCCTATACTGGAATCACTTCGATGACACTTAAGGAATGTAACTGTCCTGGCTCTGCTAGTTAATCCAGTTTCACGTGTGTCCCTTGCCTGTAGTCATTTATTCGATAGGCATATTAAGACAAATAACACAGCATGAACAATGCAAAAAAAATTAAATCTCAACCCAGATCGAAAAGAATAAATGCCAGAACAAATAGATTTATAGAGTATAGAAAAGTACTAAATACAGTACCTACATTAGGAGGGGTCAAATCTGTATTTCATGAAGCAAAACAGGAAAGTATTATATATTATGAGACAGATAACAACAGTCCACACACATCAAGACAAGTATAATTTTTTTCATAGATACTAAAAATCGTTAAAAAAAAAAAAAAGAGAGAGAGAGAGAATCATCCTGGAGTCAAACTAACTTTCAAACAGAGGAAAAAAGGTGTATGTAATTACATTTTTTCCCAATAGATAATTCATTTATCCCTATTGGTAGAGTTACATTCATAGGATGATTTATTTGTAAGGATATGTAGATGGATGACTTTTCATCAAGTTCTAGGGAGAAATACCAGATAAGGAAGGTTTAACCCAGCATTCTCTTTGCAGCAAAACAACCATCCACTTCCTATATATATAAGTTGATTTTTTTTCTAGTGGCTCTCCATGCCTATACACAGTTAATTCATATACCACCACCATCTCCTACCTGGAAGAGCAAAGTATTGCCAAACCCCAAGAAAAGAGATACGAGGAAGCAATTAAGGGGAGAAGGGACATACCTTCCAGTAAGTTTATATCGATGTCGTTATTGTCAGGCTTGTGTAGGCAGGGGTAGGTGTTAAAAAGATTCGCTACAAAAGCTAAGTTAAGTTTAGGGTTGCCTGAAACCACATCGGCCGGAGAAACGAACTGCCTGCAGCCGAGTTTGTCGGCTTCCTGAAGCATGAGGCCAGCTCGCTTCAGGTCATTCTTCTCCTAAATGAAGAAATCCAACACAAAACGGTCAGGATTGGTGTCATATCCACAGGTGCACAGTTAGAAAAGCAATTCGCTTTCTGCACGTGTACCCAATGGTAAAAAGAATGTGGGAGCTTCACAAATCAACTTCTACCAAATGTATTTTGGTTTTTGTCAGTTGTGGGGCTTGAACTCTGGGCCTGGGTGCTGTTCCTGAGCCTCTCTGTGCTCAAGGCTTGTCCTTTACCACTTGAGCCACAGTGCCACTTCTGATGTTTTGAGTGGTTAACTGGAGATAAGAGTCTCATGAGGACTTTTCTGCTTGGGCTGGTTTTGAACCACAATCCTCAGATCTCAGCCTCCTGAGTAGTTAGGATTCCAGGCGTGAGCCACTGGTGCTCAGCTTTGTTGTTGTCTTTTTTTTTTTAATAAGTTATGTTTTCCTGCTAGGATCTCTGATTCTTAGCTCATTCTAATTCGTGAACTTTTCCACAAAACACTCAGAGATGGTATGAGTGAACACTCACTGGCCAATAACAGGGTCTCAATAAACAATGAGAAGGAAAATTATACATAAAACAAGAAACACAAGTCTGTAATTAAATAATGAAAACATATCAGTGTAGATAGATATCAGCAGATCACCATATATGGGCCTTGTTTAGATCTGCTATATCTACATCTATACAAGATTGAGCTCAAGGTCTGATGCTTAAGCCATAGCACCAACCCTCTTTATTTAGATATTAATTCAAATGACTAATGAAAGTGTGACATTTAGAAGACAATGGTAACTGCTAATGATGACTAGATGATATTATAGACTTCACAATTTTGTAGAGATAAGCATCTTCTAGAAATACTGAAATGGGCTGGGATGTAGCTCAGTGGCAAAGCGCTTGCCTAGCAAGTGCAATGTCCTGGGTTCGATCCCCAGTACCAAAAAAGAAAAGACAAAAAAAAAAAAAAAAGAAATACTGAAATGTTTATCCATCAAACATATGTGTCATTACATATTAAGTGATTCCATGCCTATAAATGAAATATTCCTGGTCAATTAAATGATACTATGTATACAACTGACTTCAAGGTAACATAGGAGAGGTACGAAGTAGGTGGGGAGTAAATTAAATAAATTCACTGGCCCTGAGTAGACAACTGTTTCACTGGGAACAGGCACAGGGCAGTTTGATATACCAAGTCTATGCACTTTTGAATATACTTAATATTTTTCAAGCACTGGTGGCTCATGCCTGTAATCTTAGCTTCTCAGGAAATTGAGATATGAGGATTGAAACTCAAAGCCAGCCCAGGCTTATCTCTTATCTCCAATCAACCAGCAAAAAGGTGGAAGTAAAGGTGTGGGTCAAGTGGTAGAACCTCATATTGCTTGAGTGAAAAAGCCAAATGAGAGTCAGGCCCTGAGCTCAAGCCCCAGGTACTGGCACATAAAATAATTTCCAAGTTAGGTATCTGATTTTTTTGACTTGATGTCATTTGCGAACTTTGTGTAGTTTTGCGATGCTACATTTCTGACATATTTCATTCTAGTAGTGTGAAATGTCACTTATTAGTAACGCTTCATGTTATCTTTAAGATTAACACATTTCCACACTGGAAATGTATTGGCTGGTGTTGATAAGTCGAGAATGGGCTCCTGGGAAAATGCATGAGCCAGGTCAGGATCTCGGTCAGTCCTTCCTGCACCTGAACACGAGGACTTGCCATCTTCTATTCTGTACATTTCCAAACATCAGCTATAGAACTGATTACCCATTGCTTAGCAACCTAATAACAGCTTGTTGCTCCCCTTTCTTGGTACGCACTGACAAATCACAAAAGCACTCTGGTTGCAGACAGCATTTTGCTTGGGAACTGTGGATGTAGGGTTGACTCCACACATACTGATGAAGCTTAGACTTTTGCCCTTCCCTTTCTCCAGACATGGCTGCCATATTAGCTGGACATTTGGAGCCTAGGACTTGAAAGCCAGGGTGCAAAGCACTGGGCTGAAATGTGAAGAAAGGGCTGAGGGCAGCCGGCACCGGTGGCTCATGCCTGTCATCCTAGCTACTCAGGAGGCTGAGATCTGAGGATCGCGGTTCAAAGCCAGCCCAGGCAGGAAAGTCTGTGAGACTCTTATCTTCAATAAATCACTAGAAAACTGGAAGTGGCGCTGTGGCTCAAGTGGTAGAGCACACGCCTTGAGCTGAAAAGTGCAAGAACAGCACCCAGGCACAGAGTTCAAGCGAAAGAAAGAAAGAAAGAGAGAGAAAAAGATAGAGAGAGAGAGAGAGAGAAAGAAAGAAAGAAAGAAAGAAAGAAAGAAAGAAAGAAAGAAAGAAAGAAAGAAAGAAAGAAAGAAAAAGAAAGAAAGAAAGAAAGAAAGAAAGAAAGAAAGAAAGAAAGGGCCAAGGGCTCCAGAGAGGCCAGCTGCCTGGATAGAAATCCCATTATTATTTTTAGGTGCCAGTCCTGGGGTTGGATCTCAAGACTAGGGTGCTGTCCCTGAGCCTTCTTTTTTCTTTTTCTTTTTATCCCTCAAAGCTAGTGATCTACCACTTGAGTCACACTCTGACTTGCAGCTTTATGGTAGTTACTTGGAAATAAGAGTTTCACCAACTGCCAGGACTGGCTTCAAACCATGATCCTCAGATCTCAGCTTCCTAAGTAGCTAGGATTACAAGGGTTAGGCCACTGGTGGCAGGCAAGAGTGGACAGCAGGGGTTGGCAGGGGAAGTGGGGGTCCTGGTTGAATGGGTATAGAGGTTTTTACTCGGGGGGATGAAATAGCTCCAGAAGAGGAGTCACTAGAGATCGCTCCACAGCTATGTTGAACACATGGAACATTCTTGAACTCACAACTGATCAAAACAGCGAGTTTCAGCCTACGTATACTTTTACCTCCACATACAAAAACTAAAAACTGCGCTCACATTGAGCCCTGAAAGGTCGATGTCAACGGCAGGGCCTTCTCGGTCACCTTTAGGGGCAATCTGATTGAGCAGATGAAAGTAGGCTTTTGAATCCTTTAAGAAAAAAAAAAAGGAAATAGCATTATTAAATTGAATGGTCAGAATCACCCTATATTTGGGGGGGGGAGGATGCTCACACTGGGGAGATGGCTCCCATCTCAACATGAATAACACAGAATGACTCACAGGTTCCTGGAATCGCCCTGCTGTGTTCCCACAGCTCAGGGTTTCCTGAAGTTCAGGGTTCCAACCTCAGCTACCACAGGGTTCCCTGGGCCCGGAAACCCCTCCCCCAACCCGTTCCATTTGTCTACAACCTAAATGTTAGTTAAGGTTTAGGACAAGTTGGGTATGGTAGCTCAGGCCTGTCACCCTAGCTACTCAGGAGGCTGAGCTCTTAGGATTGCAATTCAAGGCCAATCTGGGCAGGAAAAAAAATCTGAGACTCTTTATTTGTAATGAACCAGCAAAAAGCCAGAAGTAGAGCTGTGGCTCAAGTGGTTAGAGTAACAGCCTTGAGCAAAAAAAAAAACAAAAAGAAAAACTAAGGGACCTCATCTATGATGAGTTCAAACTCTAGTAGTTCAAGCTCTATATTTAGGTCAATATGTTCTCCTGGAAGACTTTTTTGGTTTTTTGAATGAACCCCATTCTTCCCTCTATACTGCACTGTATACCATCTCTATAAAGAAACTATGGGCAGAGCTGTGACCAGGAGGGGTGGGCACACAGACTACAATCTATATGCCATGACTGGAATTGATCACGAGCGGTCAGACTGACTGGGCTACACCCTGAGTTCAGGGCACAGATTGGTTGAACCTTGATGTCCTGGCTGAAGTTGCTGATGGTGCGCCAGCCTGCGTTGCTGAGGTGGTAGTTGACCCAGCGCAGCAGCAGCTCCTCAGGGGACAGCTTCATCAGCTCCTCCAGCTCCTCACCCTCGCTGAGCAGTGCGATCAGAGCTGTCAGGAGAAAGGGCATGTGAATCCTGCCTTCCCTTGGGGAGAGAGGGGTGGGGGGGGGTGGAGATGCCTCCAGCTCCAGGCCCTCACCTTCATTCCTGGAGAGTTCAATATCGGCGAAGAGACCGACTTTAATGATCTGCCAGAGAAGGCCCAGGACCAAGTGAGGTTTTCCTTCTTTGAGATCCTGGGCACCGATGTTGACCACAGTGCAGCCGATGGCAGAGGCGGAATTCAGTGCCAGGTTCAAATTTTCCTGAATGGCCAAAAGAGAAAATCACAAAGGGAAGAAATTCTGGCTCTCATGGCTTATCATTGATAAGTTAGCTGTAAGAAACCATGGGTTACAGAAGTCTAAGTCCTGGGACTTGAACTCAGGGCCTGCACGCTGTCCCTGAGATTTTCTTTTTTTTGCTAAAAGCTCATGCTTGACCACTTGAGCCACAGATCCACTTGCAGATCTTTTGGTGGTTCTTTGGAGATAAGAGTCTCACAGACTCCTTGAACCACGATCCTCAGATCTTAGCCTCCTGAGCTGCGACCTGAGCCACCAGGGCCCCATATCTCAGAAATTTCAGATTTCTTAAAATACAGAAGTTAATGTTTGTGCATGTTAATTACTATTAATACTAAAAAAAAATCACATGGTTTTTAACTGTCATCTGCAGTATGCTAATGACTTCCACATGTGAGACCGCCCTCTGTCCCTGGAGAGCTCCCCTGTGCTCTCTGTGCGGGGTACACTTAGTAACGTCCACCCAATTGCTCCTCAAACCCACCAAGTCCAAAACAAACCCATTTTCCACCTGATGTTCCTCCCATCTCTGCCAAAATCATTTCTTCCTGATCTTATTGACTAGCTTGGGTGAGAGGACCAACTGTTCACACCCCTGCCTTGGTTCCTGAGGAAGTTTGCGCAGAATCAAAAAGCTGTCCTGTAATCCCCAAATCCTCTCCACAACCAGTAGCACTAACCTGACTTCCCTGAGACCACGCCAACACCAGCTCTCCATTCTCCTCCTGGACGTTCTGTGCGGGTGAACCCCTACCTGGGACACAGCCAGTCCCCCCCCCCCATGGAAGAAGATACTCACAGAAACAGTGAAGGGGGTCAGCTTTCTCTTGTTGATGGCCCTTTCGTCAATAGTATCCGGTTCAGACAAGTTGATCATTTTGCTAATGAGAAAAAAAATGGCAATAACTAGGTTGGGAGAGTTGCAGAAATGTTTTAGCAAAAAAAAAAAAAAAAAAAAAGCTAAAATTTGAGAAGTGGTAAGAATCCACTTGTTTCTTAGGATATATATATATATATATTTAAGCTAGAAACTTTATTGTTTAAATCTAATAAATATTCTGGATCTTGAAACAAATCTACTCCTTGACATAGCTCATGCAGTTTCTTTGTGGCAGTTTTTGTCTTTATTTCACGTAATAATCGCTAGTATTGTTAGAAGTAAACAAACTCCCAGGAGGCCAAATGCCAAGCAAAAGAAGAGGTGACATTGTCCAAAAAGAATTGTATTCATTACTTTACTTATGAAATGGCAACTCCTCTGTATAATACCTTAAGAACAATAAAACTATATATATACATATATATATATACATAGATACATATATATTTTTTAAATGTGGTACCTATACACAATGGAATTTTACTCGTCCATTAGAAAGAACAATATTATGTCATCTGAAGGGAAATGGATGGGCCTAGAACAAATCATGTTAAGGAAGCTAGAGCTATAATTGTACAGGACTCTAGGCATTCACACTCAGTGAGACCAAAAGAGGAGGCTCTCAGGGGAGGAGCAGAAAGGTGCAATGCCTCTGTGCCTCTAATCACATAAAATAATACTTATAGAAATAAACTCAAGGGAGGCTGGGAAGGTGGCTCAGTGGTAGAGCACTTGCCTCGCATGCATGAGGCCCTGGGTTCGATTCCTCAGCACCACATAAGCAGAAAAAGCTGGAAGTGGTGCTGTGGCTCAAGTGTTAGAACGCTAGCCTTGAACTGAAGAGCTGAGGGACAGAGCCCGGGCCCAGAGTTCAGGCCCCATGACCGACAAAAAAATAGAAATGGAGAGGAAGAGGGTGAACAAATGTAGCAGTGGTACTCAGTATAAACTACATGGAAAATGAACTATACAACTTGTGAGAAGGGAAGGGAGAGAAAAACTGGGAAAGAGCGAGGGATGGGGTGAAATTGTCCAAAAAGAAATGTACTCATTACCTGACTTATGTAATTGTAACTCCTCTGTATATCACCTTTATAATAACAATTGAAAAAAGAAAAAGTTAATAAAAGAAAAGCCAGGTGCTGGTGGCTCATGCCTATAATCCTAGCTACCCAGGAGGTTGAGATCTAAGGATTACAGTTCAAAGTCAGCCCAAGCAGGAAAATCCATGAGCATATTATCTCCAATAAACTACCAAAAAAGCAGAAGTGGGGCTGTGCCTCAAGTGGTAGAGTGCTAGTCTTGAGCAAAAGAAGGGCAGGGACAGTGCCCTGACACTGAGTTCAAACCCCAGGACGTCTTTAAAAAGAAGTTTCCTGTCCAAAAAGCCTTTCAGCAGTGAAGTTCAATTAATAAATTGTATGCTTTTTCATGTGTAAAATGTCAAAAGGAGAAGAAGGAAGAAGAGAAGGAGAAGAAGGAGAAGGAGGAGGAGGATGAGGATGAGGAGACAAATTTTGTGCAAACCGTATGGTATTATTGTTGCAGAAAGATAAAGAGTGGGAGACTTCATCTAAGATTTCAACAATTCAGACAATTTAAAGGAATTGGCCTGAGTTTGGTCTCTATATTTTAGAGTATAAGGAAAATGCACATTTGATTCAGAATAGGAAATTCTCTGAAGGTGAAAAGATAAGAACTGTAAATGAAGGTCACAGTATCTCTAATACACAGTGTTCTAACCATTGATAGTCTTTATTTGTAGGTTAAGGACTTCTTTCCTTTTTTTAAATGCAGATACAAAGAGTCCTAATGAAGATGTAAATCATTAGTGGTGCTGTGATTGTTTGTGATGGCTAATTTCTTCTTTGGAGGTCCACTATTTTTTTAATAAAATAAAGACACCTGCTTTGTATAAAGAATATGCTGGGACTACATGGAAAGTTTACAGTATAGCCAGGCATTAGCTTAACCCTGAAATTCTAGCTACTCAAGAGGCTGAGAGCTGAGGATGGAAGTTGAAGACAGGCAGGGCACAAAACTCTGTGAGACTCTTATCTCCAGTTAACCAGTAAAAAGCTGCAAGTGGAGGTGTGGCTGGAGTGCTAGAGTACTAGCCTTGGGCAAAACAAACTCATCAAGAGCATGGTACTCCCAGTAGTAGTGCTCACACAAAAGTTTACAGCATGGGGCTGGGAAGGTGGCTCAGTGGTAGAGCACTTGCCTCGCATGCATGAGGCTCTGGGTTCGATTCCTCAGCACCACATACACAGAAGAAGCCAGAAGTGGTGCTGTGGCTCAAGTTGGTAGAGCGCTAGCCTTGTGCTGAAGAGCTCAGGGACAGTGCCTAGGCCCTGAGTTCAAGCTCTAGGACCAGCAAAAAAAAAAAAAAAAAAGCATCAGGCAAACAAAGGATTGGAGGAGGAAGATCATTCTAGAAAGCATAGTCGTGGTCTATGCAATAGACATCTCTCAAGCTGCTAATTGCAAAGGACAACGGCTCTGCCTAGTTGTAGCTTCATGGAGCGCTCATGGATGGGACAGAAAACAGGGAGCCCCCATTGTGAGATGTTCAGCTCACCAAAGGAGGATGCCATCTGCCAGTGACTTGAAAAGGCTATTGTCACCCGGGTCCATGGGGATGAGGTGCCGACAGTCAGGGTCATTCTCCAGGGCTTTGTTTATCCAGTTCACAAAAGCTACTTTTTCCTCCTCTGAAACGAAGAAAACCTTGATAGGAAAAAATCTATTTCCCAGAATTTAATCACCCTATAAAACTATATCTGTCAATTTCTGCTCAAAAAAAAAGTGGCTGTTAATTACATGCAACTAAAACTCCAAAGGACGCAACAAAGAAAGGGGAATTCATTCTACTTTTTCATCCAGTCTAAGAGGAGAGAGGAAGGAAGGACTAGTTTTTGCACAGGCAAAAAACATCAGGTCTGATTCCAACATCTTTCAAAGGATCTATTGCTTCAGAAATCAAATAAATCAGCAGCACACCATCAAAGGTCAAATCTTTACACACAAACACTCAGATGTAAAACTATGTATACTCATGTAAGAAGTACACCTAAATAAGGAGGAAAAAAAAAACCCTAAGATCTATGAAAATAAATGCCTGCAATCCAGCTACTTGGGAAGAAAAGGGGGATGGCAGTTCAAGGCTAGCCTAGGCAAAAAGTTACTAAGACTCTCTCCCTCCTCAACCAAGAACCTGGACATCGTGGTATATACGTGTAATCCCAGCTACAGGAAAGGTCCAAGGCTAGGCAACAAGCCCAATCCCCTATCTGAAAAAGGACTGAAGGCAGCTGGGCACTGGTGGCTCAGGCCTATAATCCTAGCTACTCAGGAGGCTGAGGTCTGAGGATCAGCCCAGGCAGGAAAATCCATGAGCCTCTTATCTCCAATTAACCAGAGTTGCATTGTGCCTCCCAGTGGTAGAGCTCTAGCCTTGAGCAGAAGAGGGCAGGGACAGTGTACAGGCCCAGAGTTCAAGCCCCGTGAACAACAACAATTTTTAAGAAAAGGGCTGAAGGGGTGGCTCAAGTGGTAGAGCACCTCTCCAGTACATGCTTGATTAGAACATCAGTATGTAATATGGCACTATGGAATGGATGGTAAGAGGCCAGTTTGGAGCAGGGGTTACCTGAGTATGAATGCTGGGTACCCTCGCTGGAAATGGAGGAAGTGCCTCCGATCGCTGTGATTCCTTCCCGCTTGTTAATTATCTTTCGGAAAGTTTTGCTGATATCCCTGCTTTTCAATTCTTGCATTAGCTAAAATGGGATAGAAATGCAATGGGTGATTAAATAATTGTAAAAAAGAAAGAAAGAAAGAAAGAAAGAAAGAAAGAAAGAAAGAAAGAAAGAAAGAAAGAAAGAAAGAAAGATAGATCTGGCCACAGGAAGGTTATCTATTTAGACTTACTCATCTGAAACAACACCAAAGGAAACATGAATCCAATATATTTGCACTTAACACAAAATGGACAAATGGTTGTACCCCAATCTCTGGGACAAGCTACAACTACACTTTAAATGAACACGTCAAAGTTGTTCTTGCCGGGAGCTGGTGGCTCACACCTGTAATCCCAGCTACTCAGGAGGCTGAGATCTGAGGATCGCAGTTCAAAGCCAGCCCGGGCAGGAAAGACCGTGAGACTCCTATCTCCAATAAACCACCAGAAAACTGGAAGTGGCGCTGTAGCTCAAGTGGTAGAGCACTCGCCTTGAGCTGAAGAGCTGAGGAACAATGCCCAAGCCCAGAGTTCAATCCCCATGACCAACCAAAAAAAAAAAATTTGTTCTTCTTCTTGATGTGCCAGGATGTTCTCTTTCCTGTATGGAGAAAAGCTAAGAAATAACTAACTACATGACAAAAATTTTAAGAAATACCTTAGTGAGGGCATTTCTCTGTTTGAGCATCCCAAATGTAGGCATATTAAAATAAACCAATCAGCTCTTGTAACACATGGAGGTATATTAAAATAAACCAATCAGCTCTTGTAACACAGGGCAGCATATTAAAATAAACCAATTAGCTCCTAGAAATAGCTTGGGCTGCTGGGAGTTCCATTTTCTAGTCACTAGTACTAGACTCTCCAGGGATTGGCAAGAATAGACTACATCCTTTCTCCCTGCAGTGGACAGCCATTTGGGTGGTTTTCAGTACAAATCTAATCTTACCGCTTCACTCTTTCTTCCTACTTCATTGGTTTCCTATTGCTCTAACAATAAAAAGTTAAACCCACTGGGCATTAATGGGCTCTGAACTGTAGCCCTAGCCATTCAGGAGGCTGAGATCTGGGGATCATGTGGTTGGAAGCCAGCCTGGGCAGGAAAGTCTATGAGATTCTTATCTCCAATGAACCACCAAAAAAGCCAGAAGTAGGGGTGTGGCTCAAGTGGTAGAGCGCAAGCCTTGAGCAAAAGAGCTCATGGACAGTGCGTAGGTCCTGAGTTCAAGTCCCAGGACTGGTACCAAAAAAAAAAGAAGAAAGAAAGAAAGGAAGAAAGAAAGAAAAAGAAAGGACAGACGACAAACCCTACATGGCCTTGCTCGTGTCTACAGCTACATGGTCTTCCTTAGAACTGGGCTGTAACCACACTGCCCCTTTCTTCTTCGTGTGAGAGGACTCACCATTTCTAAAGCCACAATGACATACTGCCACTTCTAATGTCTTCCATATTGATTCCCCTCCCCCCAGCCCCCTTTTTCCATCTAAACTTTCTTTAGATCTCAGTCTTCCCTGAGTCCTTGGGTCCTCCAGTTTCAGCTTCAACTCCATCTGCTACAAATGCTCCTATGAGCTACACAGCTGTGTCACGGCAGTGGTCTGTCCCTTTTGCACAACTCTGTCCTCCTCACCCACGGGACCTCCGTGGAAGCAGGACCCGGTCTCTCCATGCTTGCTACCTGATTCACTGCCTAGGTGTGAGTTAATGAAAAGAGAATGCAAAACCTGATAACATCGACATCATTAACTATGTATCCACTGACGGTAATGGTCAATACGCGCTGAGCTCAAATATCATGAATGACCGACAACTCCCCAAAGTTGACTTGCACTGGGCACTAGTGGCTCACGCCTGTCATCCTAGCCACTCAGGAGGCTGAGATCTGAGGATTGTGATCCAAAGTCAGCTGGGCAGGAGAGTCTGTGAGACTATCTCTAATGGACCTGCCAAAAAGCTAGAAGTGGAGGTGTGGCTGAAGTGGTAGAGCACTAGCCTTGAGCCAAAGAAGCTCAGGGACAAGCCTTGGGTTCTAGCCAATGGTAACCCCTCTGTACAATACCTGAATGATAAAAATAAAAATTATTATATTTTTAAAACATAAATAAAAATTTAAAAAAGCAGACTTCCATGCTGTGATTCTGTCCTCAGCTTTATGAGTCACGTGCAGACAGCTTCTATGAGCATTCTCCTCATGTTAAAGCGGGCTCCTTCGGGTTCCCTGGAGCCAAATCTGATCACGAGCCAGCCAGGACCAACAGTGGACCGGCCATTACTCACCGACACGAACTCTTCAAAGCTGATTTTGCCATCTTTGTTGTTGTCAGCAACCGCTAGAATTTTCTCCACGATCTCACGCACTTTGTAGCCAGGGAGAGGCAGGCTGGCTTCCTTAAACAGGTCCTGAAGTTCGTAGTCACTGACATAGCCGCTGTTGTCAATGTCTGCAAAGGCAGATACGGATGGGCCCTGTGTCACCTGTGCTGCTGGAGATCAGCCCTCAGCCAGCCTCAAGGATGGGGACACCCTTGGGTGCTTGTTTCCCCAGGGGACAGGGAGTATCTTCCTACACCTGAACTATGCAGAGCATGTGCCACACTTGATTAAAACATTCGTTTTTTAACTGCAGCTTCTCTTCACAGATTGAGGGCCGCTATATGGATTTTAACTGCATAGAATGGACAAGGCTCGGGCAAGAAACTCAGTTTGGGGAAATGACTAAGCTTGAAAGCAATAAACCTCATAGTCATCATTCTAGCTAGTAGCTAGATAGAGAAAGTACCTCAGGATTGTGATACTAGGACAGCCTGAGCAAAAATGGTCACAAAGTTCCATTTTCACAGAAAAGCCCGGGCGAGGGGGCAGGCACCTGCCTCCAGCTGTGAAAGGAAGCCCGGACAGGAGGATGGCTGCAGTGCAGACAAGCGTGGGGGGAGAGGGTAAAGAACGTCCTCCAAACAGCCAGAGCGAAAGGCTGAAGGTGTGGCTTGAGTGGTAGGTAGAGCACTTACTTAATAGGTGCAAGACCAAGTTCAAACCTCAGTACCAAAAAAGAAAGAGGGAAAGGAAGGGAGGGAGGGAGGGGAGGGGAAGGAAAGTGGAAGGAAGGAGGGAAGGAAGAAGGAAGGAAGGAAGGAGGGAGGGAAGGAAGGAAGGAAGGGAGGGAGGGAGGGAAAGAGGGAGGGTGGAAGAAATGGGGGAGAGAAATGTCACACCGTGGTCAAGGGGCACATGCACTCAGACTCTAGTAAAATGGATTGATATTTGTAAATTCCTGCAATGGATTTATAAACTAGATCTATGAAACAGATCCACGGGCCACATACTCCTTGCAGAAAGGATCTACGTGTCCTGTAAAATCCACGTAAAGCACTTTTGCCCCGCACTGCTCCTGGCAACAGCTTGTTTCGCTTTCAATAATTCATCACGTCTTCATTACGTATTTATGATACCATTCTGCCTGCTGTCATTTTGAGATTAGGTGTGCCGGCAATCTCACGGCTATATTTGGACTCTTGGCAACAAGTTTCTGGGTGTTTCCATGTGATCACCGAAATGCCCTTCCCTAGGGTTTTTCCTAGAGACTGCCTATCACTTCTTCACCCAGAATGAAGGCACCGCAGATCCTGGCTGCCCGGCGGGCACCAGAAACCGCCCCTGTGGCGTGCTGCGCCTGCAGGCTGGGGGGGTATCGCCAAGGCTGACTTAGCTCATCTGGTAACCACTGGCTTGTGTCTTAGGCTGCTTTTTCCTCTCAACAAAAGAGCTGTCATCACGGTAATTGGATTACTGATGAGGAAAGGAACTTATCTTTTGGACTCTTGAGATGGAAGTTTAGGATACTGTTTAGAATTATTAACTATTTTAATATTCCATTAAATATATTAAATATTAATTTAATCGGTCTAGCAAACATGAAGCCCTAGGTTCAAATACCAATACCACCAAAAAAAAAAAAAAAAGGATTACAGTTGGTGTGTGAAACAAAGAAAAGAGACGACTAATCCATACATTTTGGGAAGGTCCATGTAGCACTCTGCTCAGACATGTCTGTTTCCATACCTAAATGGAACAGAACATTTTAATAACTGCCCACTTTTTTTTGGTTGGAAAATTAGCACTGCATATAATACTCTATAAAATGAATTTTTAGTGATTTTTGTGTACATCCTGTATTTGTGCAATGTACTCGTGATTGTTCACAGGGAGACCTGGGAAAACTCAGAGATTTGTACAAGTCTCTCTGCTTCACAGGAAGATCTGTAAATCATGTGATTTTTTTTTCCCTTTCCTTTTTGAAGAACTTTACTTTTTAATATAAATCTTCCTTTGTAATCGTCTCTAGAAATGCATCTGACCCTGCATTTCAAGTTCATTCCTTTTGGTCATTATTCACTAGGTTCATGGGGAAAAAAAATATAAGAGCAAGAAAACTGTGATCATTAAATGTGTGGGCCCAGCAGTCTGACTCTCAGTTTTGTCACTGTTTCTTCTTGGCAGTCCTGGGGTTTGAACTCAGGGCTAAGCTCACGCTTGCTAAAGTGGTATATGCTAGAACTGCGCTGCCCATCCAGCTCTTATTTTTCAGGCTAGGGTCTCTCTTCCCACCCAGGGGCATGCCTGATCCCAGATCCGCCCTCTTTGAGACTACCTGTAACACTGGGATCACAGTCATGCACTGCTGTGCCCATTTCCTTTTTTTTGGGGGGGGGGGGTCTGGTTGTGGGGCCTGAACTCTGGGCCTGGG